AGTTCAAAAGCATCAATTCTTCAGTGCTCAGCTTTCTTCACAGTCCAACTCTCACATCCATACATGACTACTGGAACATCCATAGCTTTGACTAGACGGACCTTTGTTGGCAAATGAATGTCTCTGCTTTTTAATATGCTATCTAGGTTGGTCATAGTTTTTCTTCCAAGAAGCAAGCATCTTTTAATTTCATGGCTGCAGTCACCATCTGCTATGATTTTGGAGCCCAAAAAATAAAGTCTCTCACTGTTTCCATTATTTCCCCAACTATTTGCCATGAAGTGATGGGACTGCATGCCATGATCTTAGTTTTCTGAATGCTGAGTTTTAAGACAACTTTTTCACTCTCCTCTTTCACTTTCATTAAGAGGCTCTTTAGTTCTTTGTTTTCTGCCATAAGGGTGGTGTCATCTGCATATCTGAGGTGACTGATATTTCTCCTAGCAATGTTGATTCCAGCTTGTGCTTCCTCCAGCCCAGTGTTTCTCATGATGTACTCTGCATATGAGTTAAATAAGCAGTATGACAATATACAGCCTTGACATACTCCTTTCCTGGTTTGGAACCAGCTCCATGTCCAGTTTTAACTGTTGCTTCTTGACCTGCATACAGATTGCTCAGGAGGCAAGTAGGGTGGTCTGGTATTCCCATCTCTTTAACAATTTTCCACAGTTTGTCACAACAATTCACACAGGCAAAGGCTTTGGCATAGTCAATAAAGCAGAAATAGATGTTTTTCTGGAACTTTCTTGCTTTTTTGATGATCAGTGGATGTTGGAAATTTTATCTCTGGTTCCTCTGCTTTTTCTAAAACCAGCTTGAACATCTGGAAGTTCACGGCTCACATACTGTTGAAGCCTGGCTTGGAGAATTTTGAGCATTACTTCGCTAGCGTGTGAGATGAGTGTAGTTGTGCAGTAGTTTGAACATTCTTTGGCATTGCCTTTCTTTGGGATTGGAATGAAAACTGACCTTTTCCAGTCCTGTGGCCACTGCTGAGTTTTCCAAATTTGCTGGCATATTGAGTGGAGCACATTCACAGCATCATCTTTCGGGATTTGAAATAGCTCAACTGGAATTCCATCACCTCCACTAGCTTTGTTCATAGTGATGCTTCCTAAGGCCCACTTGACTTCAAACATTATGCATAAATTTAGGTAGATTTCAACTTAAAAATCAGAAGTCTGATAATTCAATTATTCATTTTTAATTGATTTTCAAAACATTGTCACTCTAATCACTCAAATTTCTTTAAACATCAGCAGTACAGAAAAGAAGAAATATGCACAAAATGATTAATTGTATGACCTTCATGCTTTAAAACCTTCTCTACTTAATTTTAAATCTCCCTGGAGTTGAATGGTGCATACTGACCAAGAAAGAAAGTTCCTTGGGAACAACAGAGGCCATTTTTCAGCAAATATTCTTACAGAGGTGCAGGCATCCAGAGCAATTTACATCCTTCCAAATGTCACACTGAGCCCCTCCTTAGAACAGCTGTGTCATGAGTTACAAAACTTAAAGAGGGTTTGGTCTCACAACTTCTACTGTCCATATCCCAAGACCAAAGCTATATACATAGTCTCTAAATCTTGATCTACTCAAGGAAATACGACCATCAGGTTGATCTTTATCTTTTAAAAGAGGTACATGTATTTTCTATCATAAGTGCTGAAGACCTTTGAATTTAATGGAATTCTAAGATGCATACATGTTTTTCTACTTGATAACTTAAAAATAAATAAATGTATTTTCTATTTAATGATAAAGACCTTTAAATGGAATACTCAGTATGTAAATGTCTTTTCTATTTAAAGAACTTTGAATTGATAGAATCTTGCACCCTTTCATCTTCTTAGGCGCACACAACAGTTATAGATGTATCAATAGTTTCCAGTTGAGTTTTGGAGATCCCTCCTGATCAAGCCAAGTCTGATTTGCTGTTACAATATGACTGTCATTCTTCTGAGAGTTTAGGGGGAGGGGGCAGGAAGTTGAGAGGGTTCTTATCAGATGGCTTCTATTTTCTCTGTGGGTTAGGATGTGAAGTTGTCTGTTAAAGGAGGTGGGAGTTACGTGGATGAAGATGAGAAAAAAGCTTTAAAATTTTCAAATATGAAAAAGGGATACCTGAATAGATTCATGCTGCCTACTTTATAGTCTCATAAGCATGTGACATTAAAGCCACTTAAAGTGGAGACAGTACTCAAGATGAGATATATTTACAATCCATGTCAAACAGTTTATATGGTTTTTATGTTAAATGTACACATTTAGTTATTTGAGTATTTGCCATTCTTTGTAGCTGATCAAGAAGTCACAGCTCAATGTCAAAGAAGCTTTATTAATAAAGCAATTGAAGTAGTCACTTATACTGCAAAAAGTTCTAGACTCATTTAACATTTATTTCCATTTGCTAGTCAATTACCAGCTGTCAGAGCATATTAAGTATTGTAAATTTGAATCAGAAGCTGTCACCCCTAAGTGTATTAACTTTCCATAATCACATAGGTAGTGATTTATCCCATGAAAGAATTATATTAATCACCAACTTACATCTGTCTTCATCATGGTATAAAATTGCCACTGGCTTCATTGCTCAAGTGAAGTAAATCAATGTAGACATCAAAAATGAAAGCAGACTGTCATGAATCTTGAGTGTTTCCATTCACGTTAACAAGCTTCTCATTGTTTCCAAACAGAAAAAAAATGTCAGCCAACTTTCATAGCTTTTTGCTTCTTAGTGTTAAAACTGTAGTTAATTATTCTTTTTATTAACAGTTAACATTTCTAGAGTATTTATTATGTGTTAGCACTATGCTCACAGCTTTATGTGAATTATTTCTTTTAATTTTTACAATAAACCTGTGAGGTTATTGGTTCTTATACTCATGGCTGCATTTTGTAATGTTGATGATGACTTTAAAAGACTTGAGTAATTAACTTGTCCAAAATAGTAGAGCCTAGAGTCAAACCCCGGAGAAGGCAATGGCACTCCACTCCAGTCCTCTTGCCTGGAAAATCCCACTGACGGAGGAGCCTGGTGGGCTGCAGTCCCTGGGGTCGCTAAGAGTCAGACACGACTGAGCGACTTCACTTTCACTTTTCACTTTCATGCATTGGAGAAGGAAATGGCAACCCACTCCAGTGTTCTTGCTGGAGAATCCCAGGGATGGGGGAGCCTGGTGGGCTGACGTCTGTGGGGTCAGCACAGAGTCGGACACGACTGAAGTGACTTAGCAGCAGCCGAGTCAAACCCAGGCAATTTAATTCCATAACGTTTATGCTTAACCAGTAGTCTACACTGATGGATGGTGTTTGATACTAACTAAGTGAATCAGTTAAGAATAGCATTTGGGATCGAATCTGCATTGCAGACAGATTCTTTACATCTGCGCCATCAGGAAAGCCTGACTAAAATTTAACACATAATGGCTTACAAAACAGTGATTTTTTTTTTTAATTTCTCAATTAACAGACAGAATGGAGATAGGCAATAACTCATGTTTGTTTAGTAGCCCACCAGGGCCAGGGCCAGTGTGACTTCCCAGCCTGTCCCTTCAGACAGCAAAGATGGCTGCTTCAGTTTCAAGCACCAGGTTCACATTCAAGGCAGGATAAAAGGAGAGGGGAGAGTTGTCACCAGCCGTAACTATATAATTTATCCTGAAAGCGAACCCTTTCTCATTTATATCTCATTGGTCAAAGCTGTTTTACAGGGCTGATCTGATCTGCAAGGGTGGAAGACTGCAGGGGGAAGGTAGTTGGGGAGGATGATGGACCAGCCTTGGGTCAAAATTTATAGAATCTACAAACTCTGTAGAAATTTTTCACTTCCTCCTTAACTTCTTCCTTTTCTTGGAATGAAATTGCTGTAATTCTCTACCACCTAATGTATTTTTGCCTCATTTTGTAAAATGTTTTCCTGAGTAATAAGGGAGAGGGGTGGTTCTTTTTCTTTTTTTTTTGAGTTAGGATGCATTGGTCACAAGTTACGGAAACTATTGCACACCTAAAAAAAAGAAATGATGAGTTTCAGTCCTTTATTTATCAGCTAAATTGAATAAATTTATCTGTTGAATAAATAAATAAGCATGCATTATATGCCATGAACTCTTCTATGCTCTGTGGGTGTATCAGTGAACAAAAATATTGAGAGAAAGAGAGAAACACTGCACTGGAATCACATAGAACCCAAAGGTAGGAATGCCGCAGGGCTTTGAAGAGAGACAGGAGCCAGGGGTAGAGAAACTACCTGGAATCCAGACAGCTTCCCTGAGCTTATTCCTTCCTTCTGCTCACTCTGCTTCCTCTTAATTCTTAGTCTGCACGGTGGATCTTCTGTTCAAGCTGAACAAGAATCTGTGTCCCAATCCAAATACGTAGGAAAAAGAATTTGAATCAACTGTGCCCACCAACAGTGAGAGAGACAGTTCCAGGGGTCACTGTGAGTGGAGTGGACACCTGGAAAGTTGTCCACCTCAAAAGGCTTCCTGTTGCTGCTCCCCATCTTCAAGTTTACTGATGCTTTTGTAGACAGCTTGCCTGCTGCCATCCATGCCAAAGCTCCTCCTGCCACCCTAGAGATTTGAAAGTTAACTCGAAGAGCACATTTTTTTCTAGTTCTGGGGAAAAAATTGCATGAGTCAAGGTTCTTTTGGAGTTTTTCAAGTCACTCTGGGCCCTAAGGTATTAAATCTTCCCCTCCCCTCCACAGCCCTGTCACTGTCTTCCAGATAATGGGAGATGGGGTCTTGGTTGACATCAGATTCCCTTCTCACTTTAAGCTAAGCCCTCAGATGCCAACACTACTACACATCAGTTTGATTCCAAAGTACATACTGCAGTGTGGATTGGTATATTCGTTTATGGTCCTTGTAAACTATAATCCAGTGAGATATGGTTGTTGGTGATTTGTTTAACCGTCTCTGTGTTTCAGAGTGTTTTCCCATGCAGGGATAAATGAATTGCTGACCTGTGGCTAATCTGGTTTTTTACAGGCTGTGGATTCCTCTCCACGTGGAGGGGGCTGGGCAGGCTGGGGCTCCTGGGGCAAATCTCTGCTCTCGTCAGCATCTGCCACAGTGGGTAAGCATTATATGTTGCATTTGAATGGATAAAGTTCAGGGGCCAAATAGGCTATGACATTTTGATGATACCATGCACTGATAGAGTTTAACATTACCTCATGAGCTATTTGGGATTCCCAGGGAGTGCAGTGATAAAGAATCTGCCTGCCAATTCAGGAGACACAGGAGACATGGGTTCAATCCCTGGGTCGGGAAGATGCCCTCAAGGAGGAAATGGCAACCCACTCCTGTATTCTTGCCTGGAAAATTCCATGGACAGAGGAGCCTGGCAGGCTGCAGTTCGTGGGGCTACAGAGAGATGAACACAACTGACGGACTGAGCACATACATACACACACACACACACACACACACACGAGATAATAAGAGAAAATTGGTTTTAGTGTTTATTAAGTGCTTCCTGTATATTAATACATTTATTCTTCAAAATAACCCTATAAGGAGGTACTCTTATTTCCTCCATTTTAGAGATAAGGAAGCTGAACCACAGAGAGGTTAAACTTTATCCAAAATCAAGAGTAGCTGAATTTGGCTTTGAACTATACAGTATAGCTTTTAACCATTTTATTATATTGCATCTTAGAATATAAGATTTGGGCTTTTATAATATATTCTTAAACGTTTGTTTATCATCCACTTGAACATTTTAAAATATACAAATAGGCTACTCTAAAAAGGCATTCATCACAGCATATTGAAATACAAATAGAAAAATATGCAGGTAGGAAGAAGATATATATCTAGGCTAGTAGAGTTACTATAATGGAACATTGACCTTAACTCTGAGATTCTTGGCCTGCCAGTAGATTATCTTTCTCATTGAATGATAAAACAAGACTTACCTTATTTAGGGGCTTCCCGGGTAACTCAGGTGGTAAAGAATCTGCCTGCAATGCAAGAGACCCCAGTTCAACTCCTGGGTCAGGAAGTTCCCCTGGTAGAAGAGACAGGCTACCCACTCCAGTATTCTTGGGCTTCCCTGGTTGCTCAGATGGTGAAGAATCCACCTGCAATGCAGGAGACCTGGGTTCAAACCCTGTGTTGGGAAGATTCCCCTGGAGGAGGGCATGGCATCCCACCCTAGTATTCTTGCCTGGAGAATCCCCATGGACAGAGGAGCCTGGCGGGCTACAGTCCATGGGGTTGCAAAGAGTTGGACATGATGAGTGACTCAGCACAGCACAGCACAGCTTATTTAGATAACTTTATTTTGGCTGCCAGTAGATTATCTTTCTCATTGAATGATAAAACAAGACAGCATATTTACATAACTTTATTTTCCTTGTATTAAATAAGAAATGTCCTGTGTTGGCTCTTATACAAAGAGAAAATTTAATGAGTGTGTCCTCATCAGTGAAGATTTGTCACACTATTTTTCATGTGACCATTTCTTGTGTATACTCTTCATGAACACTGAAGATATAACATAAACATGTCTAAGATGACCTAGCCTTAACATTTCATCTTGAGGGTGGAGAGTAACAGGCAGAACATCGGAAGCCACAGGGAACACCACTTTCAGATCATCTAACTCAGGTGTTCTCATATAGTCTGTGGCATGAGGATCTTGTGATGGGCCATGAATTGGTCCAATTCACTGTTACTCCTAAAATCAGTAGTCTCTGGCCCCAATGAACCGTGGTCACAGACAGTTGAAGGGGCAGGTATCTAGTTTGATAGAATTTAGATGCCTAGAAGAATGGATTGATTGCATTCTCCTAATTCCTTGCCTGTCAAGTTACCAGTAGAGCTATGGCAAGGAGTAGATGGTGATCAAATAAACATTGCTCTCTGCTGAGAGCCTGAAAAGCAGATTTTTTTTTTCTTTTGCTAGTTGAAGGGCCAGGTATACCGTGGATACTTTGGGCTAGCCAAAAACACAAATGAACTTTTTTACCAACCCAGTACATATGCAGATGGAAAAATTAGTCAGATTAAAGTAGAGGAGCCTGTTTTGTTTTTTGAACAGGACAGAGTCTCTTATTAGAGTGAGGACAGGCACTGCAAGCATCTTGCTTTCTAGGGAAAATGTTTGAGCTTTTAGTGACTCCCAAATGGATCTTGCGACTGACAGTACTCGGGACCGGCATGCTTTCTAAGCCAAAACTAAAAATGTGGAGTCTAAAAGTTTTTGAAATTGTGATGTCATGGAACAGTATATTACTTGATCACCAAGTTATACCACTCTCTTCATGCTCTATGTCATAAAACAGTATAATGTTTTGGGTGCTTCCAGTTATAATGATGTCCAGAACTTCCTGACCCAGGGATTGAACTGACACCTCCTGCAGCTACTGCATTGTCAGTCCATGGGGGTCACAAAGAGTCGGACACAATTGAGTGACTGAATTTAATTTAATTATGGGAGTGAATCCCATCATATTCACAATCCTGTTCACTCTCAAATTAAAAGACTCTTGCTCCCTACAAGGAAAACTATGACAAACGTAGACAGCATATTAAAAAGTAGAGATATCACTTTGCCAACAAAGGTCAGTATACTCAAAGCTATATTTTTTCCAGTGCTAATGTTAAGTCACTTCAGTTGTGTCCAACTCTTTGGGACCCTATGGACTGTAGCCCACCAGGCTCCTCTGTCCATGGGATTCTCCAGGCAAGAATACTGGAGTGGGTTGCAATTTCCTTTTCGAATGTGAGAGTTGGATCATAAAGAAGACTGAGCGCTGAAGAACTAATGCTTGCAAATTGTGCTGGAGAAGACTCTTGAGAGTCCCTTGGACAGCAAGATCAAACCAGTCAATCATAAAGGAAATCAACCCTGAATATTAATTGAAAGGACCGGTGCTGATGCTGAAGCTCTAATATTTTGGCCTCCTGATGCAAGGAGCCGATTCATTGGAAAAGACCCTAATGCTGGGAGAGATTGAAGGCAAAAGGAGAAGGGGGTGGCCGAGGATGAGATGGTTGGATGGTATCACTGACTCAGTAGACATGAATTTGAGAAAACTCTGGGAGACAGTGGAAGACAGAGGAGCCTGGAGTTCATGGGGTTGCAAAGAGTCAGATATGACAGTCACTGAACAACAACCACCCTCCAGCTGGTGGTGGTGGGGAGTCATGGGTGTATATGCCAGGGGTGAGAATCTTGGGAGTGATCTCTCAGTTCTACCTCCCACACCTCCCTTTTCTGTTTGAAATCCTAAACAGTTACACCACCAATTCCAGAATCTTAATATTTTTTAATGGCTCTAGCTACATGCTAGAATTTTGAAAAGCATTTTAATCTTGGCGTTTTCCTCTTGTTTGTACCCACAACAACCAAAGGGCATATGAGGGCGAGCAAAGAAATTTTGAAATATCAGTGCTCACTCTAAGAGTCCCACTGGACAAACTGGAGCTGTCTTTAGAGAAGGAGAGGCTGTGTTCATCATCACTGGTCATCACAACCTGAGTGAATGCAGCAGCACGATAGCTGAATACCATCCCTAACTCATTCACAAGGTGTATCTTGGGGATTTCTGATTAAGACCGACTGTAAGTTTACAAAGTAATGGTGGCTAAAATGATAGCAATGTATACTTTAAGATGAGATAAGTATTTTTGTGGACCTGGTAGAGAACTAAAACTTGCAGCATGAGGGAAGGCCAAAGTCATAGGTTCCAAGGCTGGAAACAGGCAGTGGAGGTGACTGGTGATTTGACTCCCCAAAGGTAACAGGGATCATGTGTCCCCCAAGTGGAAAAGTGTCCGTCAGGCTCACAGCCTGAAACAGAGGGATGGTTAGAATAGGATTCGACCACCTTACAGAAGCTTGAGGAATTTACAGACACCGTCCTAAATCATGGTCTATTTTGAGCTGCTACCTTTGGATTCAGAGAGGCAAGCGAGGCAGGCCTTCCGTTATGCACATGCAAATAATATCCTCAGGGCTTTGCAGCGTGAAGGTTATTATCACAGGGCAAAGAAACTTATTGGGAAACAGAGCACTCACAACAGCCGACAAGCTCTTGAAGGTTTATAAATTGCCTGTGGAAAATAACAGAAGAAAATAACCACACCTCCTATTGCAATTGATTGCTACTCAGAAACCTCGTGTTACCCTCAGGGTAATTCCAGCAGCAGATAAAACTGTAGGAGACACGAAGTCCCTAATGAAACTCAGATCTGTCGATTGAGCATTACAAATAGAAACCAGTACTGTAACAGTTGTTGAAAAACCGCAGTCACAATTGCTAGAACTGTTTAAGAGTCAGCAAGAGAGTAATTAGAGAATGGAAAGATTTAGAGGTGGTTCTCTCTTGGAAAGCACGGAGTATCAGGAGTCATAAAACCTGAGCACCCTGGTCCCGACGGCCACTAACTTCTGATCACAAGAAGTGTCACTAACTAGCCAGCTACACGATGCAAAGAGCCTCTCTAGGCTCAGCTTCCTTACTTGGAAAAGTATGTGTGGGACGACTTGAGACATTCTCAGATTCCCTCCAACTTCTGAAATATAATGATTCGATAGACTGGTTCTATGTAACAAAAGAAAGATATTTGTAACCACTGTGCCAAGTAGAAAAATATAGAAAATTGACTTTTTCTACGCTGTATTTTTATATTTTATCTTTTGACTCACTACTTTGACCCCCAAGATTATGAAGAAATGAAAAAGCAACCTTCCCAATGCTTATATAAAATCAGACATCTCTCAGCCAACAATTGTTTTTGGAGAGGCCATAACCCCTGTGTTGGTTTCAGTTACAGCCACACTATTAATCACATTCTAAGAAGACTTGATCAGCTGCCACCTATGCCTTTGGATGAGGTCATAAAATGCAATAAAAATGGTTATTATTTAAGATCTAGGCAGAAGGAAAATGTAAAAAAAAAGAATAAAAAGATTTTAATGATAATTTCAAAGTACTATTGTGAGAAACAGATGTGATTTCCCACAAGCACCATAGAGACTTGATTTATGTGTAGAATATATTGCTAAGTGATTGACTAGTAACCAAAATGAAAGTCGACATTGATGAGACATATACATTTATG